TTTAAAGCAACTTAAAAATGCATGGTCATGTTGTTTAATAGTTTTTCTGAAAGACTAACATATCCTACTGCCTTATTATTTTTTACTTTTGTTTTTTAACCTCTGTTTATACTCTTTTTTTTGTATATGAAGACACTGTAGCTATATCTATGTTAACAACAAACTGCAAATGTGTAAACAAGAAGTAGCCTGCAAAGCTATGGCACCTTCCAGCAAAGCTAAAAAATAATCAAGAATGGTACAAGATCCAAATTGAAAAAAAATGTACAAAAGAAATGTAAAAACTTGATTTCTAGAGATGTAAGAAATGCAAGTAAATTTGCTGCGTTCAGCAACTACATCGAACTGCGTTCAGATGTGGTTGCTGAGTTGATGGAGCCCTACCCCTACATTTTCACTTGTCCCAATCCTTCTTTGCATGTAGGGGTAGTGGACATTCCAAGGGGTAGGGGGTATAAAATGAGGGATTTTAGATGCTGACTTGCTATGAAATGGCCAGAGACAATTCCACAGATAAAATAGAGGTTAGGGATTTCACTAAGCGACTTACTGTTCCTATTTTTATAATTTTTTTTTACTTTTCAAAGCCGTTGATGACGGCAGGGGTGTGTGAAATCATTGCGATAGAATCGTCAGAAAGAACACAACAACTAGGACGAGGAGGGCAGCCATGTCTGCCTCTGAATCTGAGAGAGGCATTAATGGAGCAATAATGCAAAGATTATAGCTTAAACTGATCAAGAGAACCGCTAAAAAAGAATTCCAGATGGAAATTATGTCTGTGTCCAAACCCCTCAATTACTATACAGAGGGAGAATATATAGTGGACTTTATAGTGTGCCAGTAAACTGACTGTTTGGACAGATGACCACTACTTTTTTCTCCGTGTTGGTCATGTGACTCTGGCCGCATTGTGCCATCTTTGTTCTCACTCATCCCCAAAACTAATCCCATGATGCTTTGAGAGGAGAGACCAGATCCTTCTTGGTTATATTTGCACATCTAGTGACCAATAATGTACACTACTTTTCAAGGTGCATTGTGGGGAATTTTGAGTCCACTACTTTTTTATCCACTAGACATGTTTTTCTGAACCTTTTTTTACGTGTGTACTCCTAGAAGGATTTTGTCTTACCATGATCATCCAAAAGTGGACGTAAAATAACTGAATATAAAACAATACTTTATTAAATATTTTTATCTGAGCATTTAATTGTTTGGCATTTTATTCTTTCCATCTCACATAAAAAAACAACACAAATATGTTGCGTTGAAGTTAGTAAGGAATAAAAAAAACAACATAAAACCATATCATAAACCTGTAATTATAAAACTGGAGCTCCTCTGAGTAACTCCCCTATAATCAGATTTAAACTTGATGAATTGGAACAAAATACAGAACAAAAATTATAGTCAGACTGACTTCATTATTTTTACTTTGTTTTCATCAAGAAACCTAAGCTGCTTTACTGAGCTCCAATAGCTCAGTAAAGCTGATCCCAGGCTGTTCTTTACTTCTAGGATGTTCGTCAGCATAGTTTTGGTGAACTCAAACAAATAAGAAAAACAAATGTTTTGGTTGATGAAAGCGTGTTTATTTTTTCAATTGGGTCTGCACAAAGCAAAACAGATCCCAGCTCTATTTTATTTTACTGCCTAAGACATAAAATATTTTCATATACCCCTTGCAATGCACTCGGGGACCACTAGACACTCATATAAAATGGCCTAACCCCTATGGGCCTTAGGCCCTAACCCTTATAAATAGGGGTTGGGACACAGCCCATGCCTGTCAAATAGCTGATTAGCCATTGTTTATGCTACTTGAATTTTTGTCCTGTGTACTCTGCGGTCGCCATAAAACAGCCTTTATCATATTTAACTATTTACCTATTTCGCAGCACTGACAGGGTTCTTTCTTTTCAGGTCTGAACAGCATCCAGCCATCATCAAACACTTTCCTGCTACCTTGATAAAAGATTTCTAGTCCATCTGTCAGTGATTTTGTTATGTAACAGTAGTAAGGACTGTTAGGAGCCGTATCACTACGAACTTTTAAATACATCTATGTGTGCATTATCCAGTAATGTACTGTAATGCCAACATTCCCACTGGAGCAGTCCTGCTTGGTCATTTTTACCCACTTAATCAATTAAGGGCTGAAACAATTAATTGGACTAATCATGATTAATCGATTATTGTAAACTAATTTAATAATCGATTAATTGTTAAATGGAGTATAGAAACTGTAAGCAATAATTATGTAAAAATGGTCAAAAAAAATTTATAAATATTTTTGCAGTAAAGATAAATTTTTTTAATATGCTGTATCCAGAACTCCTCAAGGGGCAAAGTTTTACTTTCATCCAGTTTACTTTTGTAGAAAGTTGTCTTTAAGGATCCTTTGGCTGTCTGATTATTAATTAATTAATTGAAAAAATAATTGACAGATTAATCGATTTGCAAAAACTCATTAGTTGCCACCCTAAATCCTTTCTTTATTCACAGTTTTATATTGTTAAAACACTTTACAGTAAAGTATTTTACTGTTTATCTGTTAACTCTTCACTATTATGTTATTCTTATACGGTACATTTTTCTAAGGTCCACATCTGTGTGACCAATTCTTCTATAATCTTTTTGCTGATGTAATATCAGAGTTTCCCCATTGTGGGACAATAAAGGGATTTTCTATTCTATTCTATTCTATTCTATTCTATTCTATTCTATTCTATTCTATTCTATTCTAAATAACCCTGACCCTGTGAGTTGTTACCTCCAGCCAATCATTGAATTGGATTTTCCACATCATGCAGCGGTTGCTTCCCAGAGAGTTCCAGGAGTAGAAGCCAGAGGTTCTGCAGAGCAGACCGACAAACACAAGCCAGGAGACATGGGAGAGCTGGAGTATCCGGAAGGAGAATCCAGAGCTGGTGTCAATTAGGAAGCATAAGTCCAAGCCAGAAGATCTGAGATCCGAAGAGGAAATCCAAGCCAGGGTTGGGAAGCAGAAACTAGTCAGGATCAGACAATCAGAATAACACACTAGGTAAGCTAAAGAACTCTCACATACGGCTCAAATAATCCTGTACTGATGGCTGGGACCAAGCGGTTTAAATGAAATGGCCATTTCAAACAAAATGACATTTTTCACATTTACAATATACACTCTTGATGTCTAGAAATGAATTTCAGATCTCCATATTCCTATTGTTGCTGGTCATCATTTGTATTATTTTGATGATGAAGAAATGTATTTCAGATGTCATAAATACAGTATCAAGTCAGAATAGAATATGTCAAAACAGCCACTTAAACTGTGTAAACATTTCTAGGT